TATTGTAACTTAAACTTACACTAAGTATTTCAGTGGTACAACATGCTGATAATAAAGCATCATAGGCCTGTACCACTTGACTTACACAGAAGGTATATCAAAATACTAACTTCCAGACTACCTGAAGACCCATATCTTCCTCTAATTACACTGAAACTGCAGAGTTTACAGAAACCCAGCCTTGAAGCACATACGTATAGAGCCCTCCTTATTTTCTCACAAACTTACACATCTGCTATTTTTACAAAGCCAGTTTCTGCAAATCTCCAATTGCCACTGAATTTTATGATCATGACTGAGTTTTCCCAGCCATGCCTGCTTTCTCTAGCCAGTATAAACATTAGTCACACTTCAGCCTATGTCCAAACACTGATATCTAGTCATGCCATATACAACAGTCTTAGCTTTATCTAGCTGGAGCCAGAGTAGCAGTGAATGAATTTGCTGCTGGATCTCCCAGCAGGTAAATGTGCATAGTAATTATGCAGCAGGTAATTACTATCTGAGGAAGCTAGGGTGGGCCAAATTAAAGTGGAAAACTGGCCGACAGAAATTAAGAAACCCTTTCTATGACCTTTGCTTCTCTGCTTCACGTGTTCTTTTTCAGAGACGCTTTTCTTGAAAAAATCTGGGTTTGTAATCTATATGCAGTAGCTTTCAGCGTGATTTCGGCTCTATTAATGCAGTGCCAGTAATATAAGTAAGGATTTGCAGGATCCCCTTCAAAGGTGGGAATGTGGGGGCTGATCTGCGTGGCAAGCAGGTGCACATGAAGAGTTGATCACCCAAAATTGCTTGAGAAAAGGTCTTGGCATGAAATGTCAAAAACCCACATATCTCTTAGCAAATGGCCTCTACAACAAGCAGCTTTTACACTGCTTAGCTACTGATTCATTGCAATCAGGACACAGAGGAGAGAAGAATGTTTGTTCCATATACAGTACACATCTCTGTGTGTTAGAAGACAATTAATTAAAAAAACCCTGATATAAAAATAGAAAAGCCCTTGCTTCTTTCAAGAGGGAATCCCAAAGTGTGGCATAGATCTGCTACAATTAAACATCACTATCTTTTCTTGATTTATTTTTGAGAAAAAGCCAAAATCGTAAAGGATATGACATTCCAGTTTTGGAATTTGCTCCGAAGCAAATTTCATCTCGTGTTTATTATTCCTTTGATAACAGACAAAGGCCTGAGCAATTCTTCTGTTGTTTTAATCTTAATTTTCTATTCTGGTTGCACTGTGGCCCCCTAATTAATTTCATATGGCCTCCTAATTAATTTTATATCTACTCTTGTGGCTTCTGCTTTTTAATAGCTTTTTAAATTGACTGGTTAATTTACTGTTTTGTCGTCTTTGTATACCACATTAGGAGTGGTTCAAATTGACTTGGGAGTGAGAAAAAGGGGTGCTGTATCATGTATCCATTTTAAGTTTGCCCATTCAAAAATCCACTTCAAAATCCAGTTGGAGAAAATGATTTTTATTTCACCCCCTTATTTCTCATATAAAATTCTAAAGAAGCTGAGATTGACAATGGGCAGACACAACAATGTTTAATCTGCACTGAGTTCAGTTATTTTTATTCATTCTATTTCTGTTTAACCTATCATATTTGCCTACATGTTGAGCTTAATTCCTACATGCAGCTGTTTTAGTATGATATGGAAATGGTCTGTCACAGCCTTCTTCCAGAATGTGTTTACTTCAC